GTTACTGCGGGGGAATACGACAGTCCCTGCTCAAGTGGAATTCACATTCCAGTACAGAGCTTGGTAGCTCCTCCTCTGCCAAGGACCAGATAGTATTATTGGCACTGCCAGTCCTGAAGTCTCTGTTGCGGTTTTGCCCGCTATTGTAGAATTACCTATTAGGCTGCAAGTTGCCCACTGCTGATACAGTAGGAAGAGAATCTGGAATCCTTGAAATGTATATTAATTCCTGCATATGCCAAAAGTGGGCCGTAAGAAGTGTGGATTTATCTAAGAGGCAGCTGGGTTAGGGAACCAGGAGCCAGAGGTTCGAAGCTGAGTTAAGATCTGGAAGCAGATGGCCATCTTACATAGCGCTGCCGATCTATCTCAGCTTCCGGGCACGGAGTAGAATGTGAGCTTTGAAGTCAGATGGACTCCTGATGCTTCATCTCTTCCTCGCTTTCCCCAGTCGTGAAATATGAAAGACAACAAACAGAAGTTATAAAATATCAAGCACAGGTTGACTATTCGTCGGGTCTCTGGAATCTCCCACCGTCTCGGGGGAGTGAATACTTTTTGGCCCTTGAATTACTCCACCATCACATAGCCACCCAAGTCTCCCCTTTCTGAATTGCCTGCGGTTCTCCAGAATCCCTGGACCGCTTCCAGGACAGCAGCCCTCTGCTGCCCACTCTTGGACATAATATGTCATTACAATCCTTCAGGTACTGCCCTGCTCCACACCCATTACACCAGCTTCTTTATTCTGCGGACAAGGGAAGAGACAGTTAAAATTAATGGAGTTCTTCTAGTGAAGAAATCAGGGAGGTAAAACTCTCTTATTGGGTGCTGAAAGCACACAGGAACATCAGGGACAGGCGCAGATAGATGTGAGCTGGCCAAGGACCCCACGCTGCGGGACTGTGGGCGGCGGGGCGGTCGCTAACTGGAGTAAGATCTCAGAATGCTAGATGCCAGAATTCACCTGAGCCCTGTGATCAGCTAGCTTCTTACCTTTTCTGTTTTATAAGCAAAAACGTAATGAGATATACCCGAACCAAACAGTAACAGTACAGGTCACTTTTAAATGATTAAAAACATTTTGGGTCAAAGAGATGCTTCAGTGGGTGAAAGTTCTTTGCCACCAAGCCTAACACCCTGAGTTTGATTCTTGAGACGGGTGTACTCCTACGTGTTGTCCCCTCGACTCCACATGCTTTGTGACACATGTGCTCTATCCACTGCACCCAACGCCCTTGCAGGGACACACACACGCACACGCACACGGAGTGATTACAATTTTTTAAAGAATTTCTTTTCGTTATTTTCAAGTCAGGATGAAAACGAATCAAATTTAAATATACTCACAGTCCTTCATTTTTCTTCTTAATCAACATTCAAACAGGCTACTGCACAGCATTTCCATGTATGTAACTAGTTTTGGCTAAACCTCCCTACCCATCTGCTCCACTTTCCCACCTTCAAGACCCGCCCCACTTGGACCCTTCTCCCCTGCTCGCCCCTCCCCACCGTGCCATGTAATCATTCCTGCCTTCCTATTACATGAGTTCTGTTGCCCTCCCAGCTCCCTCTCTTGCAGCCCCTCCACTCCGCCCTGCTCCTCATGGACCCTTCTAGTTTCCCGCCAGCCATTCACACTCAGTCCCACATTAAATGCACACTCATAAAGTTAAAAGCTTGGGATCTGTATACAAGAGCTAATGTCCTATTCGACTTTCTGAGCCAATAATCTGATTTAATAAGTCCACTGCCGCGCCTTTTCCTACAAGTTTCGTAATTTCTTTTTCCTTTATGGTAGAATAAAATCACACTGTACACACATGCCACATTTTATCGTCTGTAGATAAACATCTAGGCGGATTCCATTTTCCTTGCTATTGCGATGCAGGAGCAATGCACGCAGATGGGCGCAGTTGCTGTGGAAGGACGAGGAACAGAACAGCTGAGTCACGTGGTAGCTCTAGTTCTGTTTTCTCGAGAAACCTCAACACCGGCTTTCATCGTGGCTGCGCCAATTTCACTCCAGCCAAACAGTAGATGGGAGTCCCCCTTTTCTCCACAGCCTTGCCAGCAAAAAGCATTCCTCTTCTTAGTGACAGCCATTCTGACTGGGGTAAGATGGAATGAATCTCAAAGTAGCTTTATTTGGCATTTCCTTGGAGGCGAAGGCTATTGAGCACTTTCAAAAACGTTTATTGGCCCTTTGTATTTCTTTTGAGAACTATCTGTTCAGTTATAATTCCAAATCCCTTGAACATTATACACAGTAACTTGAGTTACATTGAGCAAATCATATATTTCTCGCAGAAGACTTTTTTAGATCACCTAATGTTTTAAAGACTTAAAAAAAATCATCTCTTACAATTGTCAAAGTTTGCTTTCCATTTTTGTAATGGAAAAATTACTTAATACTATTGTGGACATTTTGAGCATTTAATTCTGAATAATAAATTGCTTTTAATTTTATAGTTGCAGCAGAATTGATATCTAACAGAGAAAAACAAAGTCATTTGCTGAATGATTTGAAAGGGTTCCAAAACACCCCAGGTTACATAACAAGACTGTCTCAGAAAGGTCAACCAAATCAAATCAAATCAAGAAGTTCTCTTAGAAAAACCAAGTCCAGATTAGGAAGACTTTCATTCAGACCAGTGGTTCTCAAATATTCCACAAGGAGGTTTGAAGAAAAGAATCCACTGAGGGCTCTTCTGTCTGTCTCTTGGCATGTATACACATGTCTTTGTCTCTCCCTATGTTTCTCTCTATGTTTCTCTGTCTCCCTCTTTTTTAAGTAATACTATGTCCTGTGAGCCTTTTATCTGCTGTAACTACCCGCCTGACTCGCCCGGCCGCATGGCGCTGCCACCCAGGAGATCTTGCAGGGACCCACAGCCATCCTTGTCGGACTAGCAGCTGCTCTGCGAGCCTGCCAGGGAACACTCCCGCCTTATCTTTTTAAAGAACAAAATTGGTGCCGCAGACTCGAGAGATTCACCCGCCAAGGGCCAGGGTCCCAGCTTCACCTTTCGTCTGGGACTCTGAGCACCAACTTCCGGGACTGAATCGGGACCGAGGACTTCTCAACACCGACCCACGTGTTCCAACTGCCTGGACACATTCCTACAAACAACACCAGCTTCTAATTGTACAAGGGACACCAGACATTTCCATGCCACAGACACCTGTCAGGAGCAGAGACCAACCACAACTATACCAGGATGTGAACAGCACCCAGCCTTTTCTCGGATGTCCCCCACCCCCCAAAGACAACGCCCACAAATCAGCCAGAAGCAGTCTTGAGAATTCGCCGCCCCAATTCCTTCAAACTGTAATGTCTAACCTTCTACTTTTTATTATAAAAAGGATCCGGGAATGTTATTCCTTTGCGGTGCCTTTAAGGACTAACCACACCCACTCCTAGCCACTTCTGACCTCCCTCACTGCCATCTTAACTCTCTCTCTTCTGTTTTCCATCTCTTGGCGTGTGCACACGTGTTTTCCTCTCTCTGTTCTCTTTTCTATTTCTGCCTTTCTTTCTCTCCTTTTTCTCTAAGTAATAAATGTTTATCCTTAAAAAAAAAAAAAGAATCCACTGAGGCTGCATCCCAGACTAGTTCAACATGAGTGCCCCGGAGGAGGTCAGACATGTTGGATTTTAAATCTCTATGTGGCTCCACTGAGCAGCTAAGTCTTAGAAACTGATAGTTTTAGGTAAATGTTGTTAAATTCATCATTAAACCCAAAATAAGAAAAAAATATGTCTTTCAAATTATTCTGGCAAAATAATTACTCTAGCCCACAACAGTAAAAACTACAGTGTATCCCAAGAACTTCAGTCAAGACCAAAGCTGGCTGTTCTGCACATTTTTAAAATAGACAGTTTTGTTTTTGTTTTTGTTTTTTTGTTTTTCAAGACAGGGCTTTGCTGTAGCTTTGGAGCCTGTCCTGGAACTAGCTCTTGTAGACCAGGCTGGCCTCGAACTCACAGAGATCTGCCTGCCTCTGCCTCCTGAGAGCTGGGATTAAAGGCATGTGCCACCACTGCCTGGCTATAGACATATTTTATCAAACTATTTACTAAACATGAGCGACCAAAGTGGTTAGATATTGATAATCTTGTTTCTATGAAAGCAGATTATAAAACGCAGATATTAAGTGTCCCTACAACTTCTGCCCTTGGAGAACTGTAATTTTTTTATGACTCCTCCTTTCACACATATTCTTTTGCTAGAATGGTACACAGGAAGGTAACTGTTACAAACAGCTTCGAACGCAAAGGGCCCAGTGGCTCGCCATGGACAATCTGACACATTGCCTCTCAGGTACTGACTATGTAATTAGCCACTTGAGGATTCTTGGAACAAGTCAGGACTTTAGTGGACATTAATAACCAAAAAACCTGTGTAAAACACAAATAGAACTTAAATGTCTTTTTTCTTACAGAAAAGAAGCAAAAGAAGAAAGTGGTCCGTTTTCCTCCCTCCATTTGTGTTAGGAGAAACGCCTTAGCTAGGAGCAGCAAGTAACTTAAGGAAACAACCGAGAGAATCCCAGAGACCCGCTGGGTGAGTGCACCTAGTTTGTATTCTGCAGCATTAGCGTAAGTCTCCAAGGTTGCTATGGAGCAGAACCAGTGAATAATCCCTCAAACACTACAAACGAACACACATGGCCAGATTATTGGCTCAAGTGTTACCATTTCATTGTTCCCATGGCTGTGATATGAGTCTCTCCAGGCCTTCAGAGGATGAACGTGACAGCTTACCTATCCAAAACCAGTCACAGGGGAACCAGTTAGGTGTTCCTGTAACTCACTCTATCTCAGATACTTCTGGTTATAAGACCCTGACTCAGAAATGCATTTGAAGAAATAAAAAGAGAGGATGAGAGTATATGTATTTATCCAGTAAACAAATGAGGTATTAATCTTAATACTTAAAATTTTAATTACTTCCATACGCGCTGTTGGAAAAAGACTCAATTGTCAGAACACTGAGTTATTTTACAGATAAACTCTTTATTGTTTTCTTCTTTACAGGAACAATAATTTGAACACGTCCACAACCAAATTGCCTCTCTATGAACAGAAAGCTCATTATATAAATTATGCTTTATTTTTGCAATATTACTAAAATACTGTACTGGTGAAAATAAATAGACATTGACAAAAAACACGCTTTGCTTCTGTAGCTGCCCTCGCTCTCCACGGGTGCGCCTGCCTTTGTGATCCCTTAGCGGAGAAAGCCGAAGGCCGAGCTCACAGGCAGGAGTAAGGACGCCATAGCAAAGGACTTCCGAGTATACTTGATGCTGGGAGACACTCAATACCACAGGTGCACAGAAACATGGCTATCCGGGCTTCCAGTGTGACAGATAACATACATATAGCACAGTACCATGATGCTGTGCAACTTCCGAGTCTAATCACAAGGTCCATTAAATCAAAGGATAAAAAACAAGCATTAAGATGTCCAGATAATCTTGCTCCCATGTAGGACAGAATGTGATTAATACATTTTCATTTCTTCTTTACATTTTTTTTATTAAGAATACTTTTTAGGGGTTTTGTTTGTTTGTTTTGTTTGTTTGTTGGCATTACATATTCAGTGTCCATTGGCCCCTTCTGAAAGTATCCGCGATGGTTCGGTAAATTTTGCGGTGAACAGGTAAAACAGGGCTGGTGTTGGTACCAAAGCCAAAAGCGGTAGGTCGTGTTCCAGCCTGTCCGCTCTGGAGATGGAGACAATCCCGTAGGCGTGCAGCAGCCAGTGGCTGAAGAGAACAATGAGTCTTTTCTTCCTGACCAGGAGATCATAGCAGTTCTGTGTGATCGTGTACAAGAAAGAAGAGAAACACAGATTAGCAAAACTCCGCTAGACCACTGGTCTTCACCTAGTCATGGCCAAGGACTCTGACTGCAGAAGCTAAATAGACCTCAAGAGCTGCCCAGTCGCCCAGAGTACCCACCATACAGATGGCCACAAAGGCCCTCAACAGCCACACTTAGCCACATCTTTTGGTCCTTTCTCATTCACATCACTATTCACTTGGGGAACACGTGCTTCTTCAGAAAGACACGAACTAGAAGAGGAAGTCTACAGTGTATGCTCCCTATGTCCAGGTCCACTGCGTCTTCATAAACCTCACCTCCATGATGCTAACGTTACCAGTATCTGCCATCTGAGTACACTCAAGACAGCAGAAAGACCCACTAATCACCTGATTCTCTTTTCATCTTCAGTGCCGTGTGAGGACGTAGAGAAGCTCAAAGGATCAAATCAATATAGAAGTAACATCGAAATGTGCTAATAAACACAGTGAGGTTACCCTTCAACTTTTTCTTTTAGTTAAACTGCTCATGGGCTCATCTAGACCTGGAGTGTCTTTCTCCGGATTCGGAGCCCTGTACTCAGTTCCTGAGAAGAAAGCTAACTGAAGAACGCAAACATCCTCAGAGCAGACACTTGGAGACAGAGAACCAGAGTGAGCTGCTGATCAGAAAGAGCATTGCTCATCCATAAATGTGCAGATTTTTTCAAATACTCCAACATACACCTTGATCTTTTCCTGGCTGATGAAAAGTCACAATTAATTTTCCGTCTTCTCGGATTAAGTCACTTGCAATGCTGATTAAAGATTACAAAGGAGAAATGAGGCTTGTCTACAAACCGGGCGAGCTGAACAGTCACCATGAAATCGTTCCATTCAGTTCCCCCATTATCGCCCCTATCTGAGGCCACTATGAGTTCCAGGTATGGCCTCACCTCACACTGTCACCAGTGTGTTGGGAAAAGAGGCATCAACAACCATCTCTCAAAAGAGTTACCGTGTTTTCCCTAGTATCCTTCTGACTATAACTGCCGTGTGCAGTGGATTCACAGCACAGCAATGGAAGGGCCTATGAACTGGGCTTTTAAATTCTTGGGAGATCTGCTCCAGATAGAGCTCTGTAATCAGCGCTGTTAAAGTGCTTAATGGAAATCGTGCAATTGTGCTGCCTTAAGATAAACAGAAACTAAAAGCCACATAATTGGAAAGAAAATTACAGAAGAGATGTTCAAAACCGCCCACTTTGATTAAAAGTTTTATGAATATGTCTGTCCTAGTTAGAATGTCAAATATATGATTTTTCTCATTTATTGCTTATACTGTAAACAGATAATACCTTAATCCTTAAAAATAAAGTATTTAAAAATGTGATGGTAGGCTGTTCTACTTTACAACAATGGCCTACCTATCAATGAACCAAAATACTTATTTTTAGCCCAAAATGTCCTGAATTCAAAACATAATCAGGAACAAGATGGCTCAGTGAGTAAAGGCAGTTGCCACCAAGCCTGACAACCTGAGTTCAATACCCAGGACCCACAGGGAAGAAGAAAAGAACTGAACCACCCTCATGTGTACACTTAGGCTTTTGAGCACACACACATGCACACAACCAAATAAATAAAAGGTTTTAATGAAATAATTTAAATATACTATAACAAAATTAAGACAATATACACAATGTAAAACTTTTTAAAACATTTAAAAAATAAGGTTCCTCGTTTGTTCTGCCTAGTTTTATGTCAACTTGACACAGTTTGAGTCATCTGAAAAGAGGGAGCCTTGGTTGAGAAGATGCCTTTATTAAGACCCAGCTGTAGGGCATTTTCTTGATTGGTAACTGATGGAGTGAACCCAGTCCATTGTGGGTCCACATCCCTGGGCTGGTGGTCCTCAGTTCTATAAGAAGCAGGCTGTGCAAGCCAAGGGGAGCCAGGCAGTAACTAGCATCCCTCCATGGCCTCTCTACATCAGCTCCTGCCACCAGGTACTTGCCCTGTTTGAGCTCCGGTCCTGATTTCTTTCGATGATAAACAGCTATGTGGAAGCAAAAGCCAAATAAACCCTTTCCTCTCCAAGCTGCTCAGGTCATGGTGTATCATCAAAGCAATGGTAACCCTAACTGACATACTCATTATAGTGGTGTTCCACGGAAATATTAAAAAATTACAGAAGACTTATCACAAAGAGTCAATCAGAACTAATGTGCTAGTATTGAAATAGCTATAAAATTCATCGAAAGAGATACAAGCAACATTAATTAGCCAAGAATCAATGAATCAACTGCTATATCTTACCGTCTCCTATGTACTTACCATATCATATGCACTATTCTTTTCAATTGTCAATTTTTATTCAAAAGAAAAAGTAAAATCTAAAACTGTAGCAAAGGAAAAGCAATTTCCTACCTCTATTTCAGAAGCCGACATGTACACAGCCAGAGTAACCAAAGACAGCACTAATATAATGTACGGGAAGGCATAATCTGGAAAACAAACATGGATACTGCATTAGAAACTGACAAGTGAAACCAGAGCTAAAACACGGCCCTTGTGAATTTGTTCTCAGCCACTTCAGAGACTTGAATCCTATCACCCTGCGACAAGACTGACAGCCAATTCTTTGTGAATTATATTTTTGGCCTTCTAGATCACACAATCTCCATCTCAACTCCCCGACTCAACAGATGTGTCATGCAAACAGCACAGGACACATGTAAATGGGCAGCTATGCCTCTGGACCAATAAAATTTCATCAACAACAATATATGAGGGTCATATAATTTTCACACAATAACAAATTTGTCTTCTAAATCTTCCTCAAACTCTTAAAAATGTAAATTGATCTCACACCTGTGAGAAGCTAAAAGATTTGATCCAGCTGAAAGGTTAATTGAAAAGAATCAAGTTCTCTTGCTGAGTCTCGAATGCTACAAGAGCTAGGTCCCAAACAAGGTAATCGAGAGAACACTCAGTTTTCTGTTCACGGGCCAAGAAGGAAGCCTTGGTTGAGAAGACTATTCATAAGAGTAACCCGGCTGTCATTGTCTTTAAAGAAGTTTATTTGTCATCCAACATTTTAGTTAATACTCTTGGTAGTCTTCCTAGCAAAATTCTGTTAATTTCTATTTCAAATACAATACAGCAATAATACCCTAAGCAAATGCTTCCCCTACAGAACATTAGTTTCCCCTTTCCTACTATGTCTAAGTTAAGGAACACAAAATAGACAAATTGAGAAAAAAATACCCTGAATTATTTCTATACAATTATTTTAAAAGAACTTCAATTTACAAAGCTTCCAATTATTCTACAATGCATATCTAGAACAAATGTAATTTTGGATGTAGTAGCCAGAAGCCTCAACTATCAGTAGGCCTTAATTATCAATTTAGTTTAGAATTGAGTTAATAACATCTATAACTTTTTATGTTAGGGATTGTGCCCTCGATCAGCCACTACAAAACAAAACAACAAAAAAACTCACTCAAAGTACACATAAATAACAATGCTAACTATATGTGATTATGATCTCATAAGAAAATTCCAACTTCGAGGGGACAGATGGGTACTACTGGGTGAGACACAGGAGTAAGAGTGGTTCTTACAGGCTAGGATGTAAAGCAACCCGAGATCTTGTGCACCTGGATCTGGGCTAGGGCCTGGGAATCAGCATGTTCTCCCTGGTGGGTCAGAGGTAGATTACACTGAAATATTGGCTAAAGAATCTCCTAAGCATTCCCAGCCCTTTCCTCCCTAGGCCATAGATCCCCAGTGAGCTGAGGTACCTGCTACCAGAAGCTGCCCCATTTACTATGCTCACATGTCTATATCTCTTTAAAAAAAAAAAAAAAACTTTTTTTTCCAAATCATGAATTTGGTACACACCCTCTGTGACTAATGCAGAAGACTGCAAAACGAATAAGAACTGTTTGATCCTCCAAATATGGAGGCTTGTTAGCAAAATTTTCAGTCTAATGTTCCTCCAATGGATCTATTTCTGTCACACTTTACGTACTATTTTTTAAACTAATTTACAATAGTTGTGATTTAGGAAACAATACTATATGGCTATTTCCTTAGCATTCCAAATCATTTCCTGGTTTCCATAGCTTCCTAAGAGCATCAACACAGCACCAAAAGTTGGGCTAAAGGAATTAGACAACTACTTTTAATTTTGTATTTTAATTTGCACATTTTAATTTCAGGGCAAAACAAAACAAAACAAAATACAACACCCGACTCTGCTCTTAGGTTAGGGAGGTGATTTTCCTGCCTTCGACACACAGGACAAAAGAAAAAGAACACTAGACATTAGCAGAGGGAGTGGGGTGGGCCAGGGCCACCCCTTCTGCAGGAGCCGTAAGGAAACTACATACAGGGCCCAGGCTTCCGAGGGGGAAATGAAGCATCCTTGGCATACTCAAGCAGGGGACACTACCAGGAACAGCAATGCTGGGCTCCTCTGCTGTCACTGCATCTTTGTGAGTGATCAGGCATCCATGATCAGAGGATGGGTTTGCCTGGAGAGTGTCTGGGGAGCCTCAAGCAAGAAGACAGAAGCACTCTAACAGCAGTGCCCCAGATCCTTGACCACCTTGTGAGCCTCAGCCTTCTATGGGGTCTACACAATAGGGTGGTTGGGGTTGATCTCCAGGTGCCCTTTGGCTGTCAAACAGCCCACTATGAGCCTGGGCCCTGACTGTTCCACATCGGCCTGAAGGATGAAGCAGCAGGATGAAACAAAGTCTGGCAGAGACAATCACCTCCTCAGTCTTTTCACCCAAGACACCCTCCATGAGTGTGGAGATGTTCTCAGATTCCGTCTTCCTCTCCTCCTCCTCCTCCTCCTCTGGTAGTTACTGATGCTCCTAGGTCATGGAGACCAGCCTCCTCCCATCTCAAGCTGCTGCCTCCAGTACTAGCCAATGACGCGTCACTTAAGCATCCATTTTGTGTTGTCAAAAGCAGAGTTGGAAAGCTTCTCTTTGCTCTCACTGGAGTATACAGACTTCAGTTTCTTTCTTGCAAGAAGTATGCTGACAGGGACGTGTTCTCCAGACCGAGGAGGATGGCAGACAGATCAGCAGCTCAGAGAGGCATTGCTTAGTGGGCTCCTCCTGGATTCCAAGGTTTAGATTCTTAGGATGCCTCACAGAATCACTTATGGTTCTTTGTTTTCTGGCACCTCAGAGATGAGCTTGAGGCACTTCCGTACAACGCTTTTGTGGAGATTTTCAAGATTTTGCTCTATTGGAGCATCTTGGAAGATGTTCAGCCAACAATGACACAGATGTAACCAAGCCATGTGGGCACCAACTCATCACAGCACATCATCACATGGGCACATGGTGAACACAGAATTCAACACTATCACACTTCTCATTCTTCAAGAGGTCCAAAGCTTGTCAAGGGACCAAGAGCAACACGCAGAATGCCATCCTGACTACAGAGACGTGCTGGACTGCTGGGAGGCCTTGCCAGGCACTGGAGAAGCGCTTACAGAATCGGCCACATTCACCGAGAGGGGTCATCAGAATCTCTGTTCTAAATGGGCATGGTCATGTTCAGCTTTTCCTGATGAACGCATCCATCCTTAATTTTCTTCAATTCTTTTTCTTATCCTTACCGTGGTCATCCTCACCTGACCTCCGGTCTTAGGCTTCTCTTCACTGCCCTTGTCTTCCTCTCCGGTCTCTTCTTCCTCATCACCACTCAAGTCCTTTTCTTCTTCCTCCCATAGAGGGTGACAGGGTAACTGGTTAACAGTGTGCGCTGTCTCACTACCTCCTCTAAGTATTCTGTTGGTCTGTCTCCTTCGGGATGGATCCCTGTGGTCCTCAACCCAGTGCATTCACCCAGCTCTACACCGTCAGTGAAGGTTCCACCAGCACAGAACTCCCGTGCACGCTGCTCCATCATCAAGGTGCTTTGTGACCACAACACTTCCTTGCCCCAAAATAGGCAGAATAAAGTCCAACACCAAACTGCTCCTTCACGAAGAGCTTCCATGAATATTTTGGTCAGACTTAGCAGTGGTTCCCAAATTATTGATAAGCTCAGCCTTGATCACGTCAATCCTGAGTCCACCAGGGTCAGAGTGTGCTCCTGAGGGTTGACAACACCAATTTTCATCTCTTTTTTGCTGTCCCACTTAGAAAGGTCTATTGGGCTCTCCTAGTGAATCTTGTCCAAGGACCAGAAGTATCAAGGCTTCTACAGGAAAATTTCCTTATTGTAATAGAAAGTATTAATTACAGAAGAAACGAGATGGTAGTATTTGCCTGAAAAGCAATGTCTCTCCCTCCCCTTCTTCACGGTGTACTTCCTCACGCATCCTGAAGATTTCTAAAATGGAAGTCTGGTCACGACACTCTTCTACCCAAATCCCTGTAAGGTCCTGTGGTGGCTGGAGTGAGAATGTACTCCATGGCTAATGTCTGAACACTTGCTCCAGCTGGTGGTCCTACCTGGGAGGCTTAAGGGGTGTGGCCTTGTTGGAGGAAGTGTGCCACTGGAGGCTGACTTTTGAGAGTTTAAAGACCCAAGCCATTTCTACTTCACTCTGCTTCCTGACAACAGTTTGAGATGTGAGCTCTCAGCTATTCTTGCCGCCATATCTGCCACTTGCTGCCACAATTCCCTGTCTGAATGAACCCTTAATCCTCAGGAACCTCGAGCCTAGATAAACTCTTTCTTCTGTAAGTTGCCTTGGTCATGGTGTTTTATCACAGGGATAAAAACTAATAAAGTCCCAATACGCTAAACTCCAGGGCCTAGAGCAAGAACAGCTGTCTGGCGCAGCAGGCAAACACTGAAGGGGGCCCACACTAACATCCAGCTGGGGCTGGATGGCGCCTGTGTTTTCAGGCACTGCAAGCGAGTTACATTATCAAGCTGTGTAATCCCTATCCCTGCCTGCATCTGGGCCAAGAGGCTTGTCCTTGGCTTCTGGGAAGACGCCTTAGAAAAAACATAGTCAACACGCACTGTTTATGGAAAACAGAAATGTATTCAAAAGTAACCCCACTCTGCCCCTCCACCCCCGCCGCCAGTGTTTCCTCAGCTATCTGGAAAGTGTGTGCTCTATCTCCTAGTACTATGTATGACTTACCCTTGTCCTTCTGAGATACAGTCCAACCTCAAGAGTTGCTAAATGAATGGTTATCTTAACACACAGACTTCCTTTTAACTTTATAGAAAAGATTTTTATAAAGGACCTTAGGAATCTAAGACAACACAAAACTTATTGCCAACATAAAATTTCATCTACTGTATATATAAAGAGACTTTTTAAACTTTCATACTAGGATTTTTAAATCTTCCAGTTTAGTTACAACCTTCAGCCTCATTCTGTTGAGAAACTCTAGTCTGTTCTGTTTTTAATAACACCATGTTTCAGCAAGGCTTGCCTTCAAAGGTTAAAGGATGACTTTAGAGAAAAATCTGTGAACTTTAGTTGGGAGGAGAACACTGATTTTTCACTTAGCAAACTTACATAAGAGGCCTCCGCCCACGGCCTGCAGCACAGTCAGAATGGGAAAGAAGTACAGAGCGGCGTAAATGCTTTTGAACCGCTCCGACTTCCCTAGTCCACAGGCGATCTTCTTCACCAGCAGGGGCCGGAGAAGCATCATCAGCATCAAGCAGAATGCGTAATAAACAAACACGATGGTGTACCTGCAAAATGAGGGATGTCTCAAGATCTGTGCAACATACTTCTACCCTTGATGGTCTTAGATCAAAGTTCTTAAAAGAAGGCTTAAAAACACTATAAGTCTACCCATTAAGATACTGAGACTGGCAAAAAGGGGCACAAGCTAACACATACATGTTTTATTATTTTTTTATTTGAAAATATCTCAGTAATCCTAAAAATGGTGTTGGAGAGATGGCTCAGCATTTAAGAATATTTGCTGATCTTGCAGAGAACCTGGGTTCATTTCCCAGCACCCCGAAGGCAGCTCACAATCCTCTACTCTTCTGCTCCAGGGGACCTGACTCCTTTGTCCAGCCTTAGCAGGCACTGCACACATATGATGCAGACATACATGCAAGCCAAATACCCATACACATAAAATGAGGTAAATACATCTTAAATAATAACTTTAAAAATGTTTATATATTTTAGAACATTTTACTTATTTGGGGAGGCATTTTACATGTCTGTACACAGACATGTGAATCCACGCAGGTACCAGGGTCATGTGGTGGGTGTATTTTGTTCACTGTATTTTTTGAGACAGGGTCTCTTACTGAGTCTGGAGCTCAGCAACTGGCTACAATGGATGGCTGCGGAGCCCCTGGCAGCCTCCCGTCTCAGCCTACCTGAAGTGGTATCTCAGGCTGCCTCACCCAGCATTCCACATGAGCACCAGGGATCTGAATCCATGTCCTCACAACACTGAGCCCTCTCCCAGCTCAAAATGTTTGTATTTGCAGACCCAGAAGTTTTACTTGTAGGAGTTTATCAGAGAAACAATCAAGAATAAACAAAAAAATTCTTTACTATTTTTTGTTTATTGGATTTATTGGGTGAGTTATAATAAAGAAAACTTAGAAGCAAAATATTCAACAATAGCAAAATAGTTGATTTTATCGTAAACTCATACTGGAAACTACGCAGCCATGAAAATAGGCAACACACAGCATGCTGTGGGATAATGCTCTTGTATACTGTAAAGATTTCACTTGTATTGTTTTAATAAAGTATTGATTAACCAGTAGCCAGGCAGGAAGTATAGGTGGGACAACCAGACTAGGAGAATTCTAGACCGAGGAAAAGCAGAGACGCAGTCACCAGACTCAGAAGAAGCAAGATGAGAATGTCTTACTGACAGAAGGTACCAAGCCATGTGGCTAAACATAGATAAGAATTATGGGTCAATTTAAGTTGTAAGAGTTAGTTAGTAATAAGCCTGAGCAATAGGTCAAACAGTTTAAAATTAATAAGTCTCTGTGTGTTTATTTGGGACTGAATCACTCACTACAGGACCAGGTGGGACAGAAACTTTCATCTACAGATACATGTGAATAGGTATCTCAATTAGTATGATTTGATATGTCAATTAAAAGAATAAGTAGTAAAAGTTTAAACAAAAAAGACAATAACTTTTCATAATTTAGGTAAGTAGTTTGAACTATGGATTTGATTAGAATTTTACTTTTTTAATATTTATCTATTTATTATGTATACAATATTCTGTCTGTGTGTATGCCTGCAGGCCAGAAGAGGGCACCAGACCTCATTACAGATGGTTGTGAGCCACCATATGGTTGCTGGGAATTGAACTCAGGACCTTTGGAAGAGCAGGCAATGCTCTTAACTTCTGAGCCATCTCTCCAGCCCTAGAATTTGACTTTTAAAAATTACCTGTACTAGACAGATAGCTAGCAGTTAAAATGGTAGAAAGCTCTTACAGAAGATCCAAGTTCGGTTCTAGCACCCATGTCAGGCAGCTTACAACCAAATGTAATCTCCTCTCTAAGGGACCTGGAACCTTCTTCTAGCTTGATGGCACCACACACATGGCATACATTCACACATACATAAATACACATAAAGGTAAATCTTTACTAAAGTTCATTACTGTTATGTGTGCACATGTCCTGGTGTGTATATTAACACTTCATCTGATTTAGTACTAACAAAAGCAACAAAACAAGAAAAAGTAGTGACAGCCTGAATCACCTAGAGAAAATTCTGGAATATGTAATTAACTTTATCAGCACAAAGCAAACCTGCAGTCTCCTATATAATCACCTATAACTCAACTACCTTTTTAGGTGATAAGCTAGCCATATTTGGATACCTTATTGATACCCTACCCCATAATTTTATAATACTGTTATTTGTGTCCATTCTGAATTAACAAACTTCTACAATTCCTATTAATTTAGTTATTATCATTAGAAATTTAAAAGATAACAGACTCTAAATTAGAAGTAGCTGTTATGGTCACAGAAGGAGGGTTCAGGGCATCTATTTGCCATTTTCCTTCTAATTTTATATTTTTACAATAAATACCATTTATGTAACTAGTAGTATATGTGTCTGATTTAATTTTAAATAAAATGAGTACATGTCTTACTTAAATGCTACTCAATTCTATTCTTGTTTATATAAAAAGATCAAATTCTATTAGTTCTTAGTATTGTATACAATAAAACAACACTTGAAGCAGAGTTACAGTTCTATGATTCAATAAATCAAGAGAGGATATTATTAGCTTTTATAAAATATAGTTGCATAGATGCATGCAAAAGTAATTTAAAGGTCATAAAGCTTGGCAGTAAAAAAGATTTTCATATTTCTATATTTGAAACTTGAGAATTACTTTTTATATGCACATGCATTTTGAAAATCTGCTATTAAGAAATTTATCATGGGTCTAGAGAGATAGCTCAGCAGTTAAGCAGAGGACATGGATTCGATTCCCAACACTCACAGAGCAGTTCACAACCACCTGCAACTCTAGTTTCAGAGGGTCTCATGCCCTATTCTGGTCACTGTGGGCTATAGGCACACATGCAGTACACATATGCACATGCAGGCAAACATCTGTATATATAAAATAAAGAATAAAAAAGTCTTTAGAGAAAAAAAAGCTCCGATCAAAAACTAATCTCATGGAATACATTATGTACTGGAAACTTGGCCCAATGAGCAAGTTTACTCCAACAAAACAATAACTTTTCTATTCCACCTTTGCCAAGAAAAGCATACCAAATTGCCAATAATTTAAAGAAAGTCTATTGTATAGTGCACAGAATCTTATCAATTTTCTTTTTGAAAACTGCCAGAAGCAAAGACCTGTATTTTGAGATCTGTATTTTGTTTACAGCCATCTTAAGTTCACAAGTAAGATTTACCTCTGCAGGGTAGATGCCAGGCCTAGGAAATCAACCTGGTATCTTAACTCCTAGTGAGACCTGCAGGCCCCAGGCTTTTAGAAACAATTAGCATTTCCTTTGTTAGTCAACAATCACAGACCCTCAGTATTTACTTATCAGCTGGAATTCAGACCTGACACTTTCCCCTCCCTCTTGCATTCTGAGAAATAATAAAGTGCGGCTTGATCAGAAATCCTGTCTTGCTGTCTCTTGCTCCTTCCATTCCTCTTCCTCCTCCAGGTTTATCAGGGGACACCCCCTCCCAGCCCCCATCTCTCCCCCCCACCCCCGCTCATATCCCGCTGACCAGGATAGAAAACAACAGCATTCTGGGCTGGCAAGATGGCTCAGGAGTAAAAATGTTTGCCACCAAAACTGATGGCCTGTGTTCAATCCTTAGGAGCACACAACAGAGGGAGAGAACTAACTCCTGCAAGCCGTACTCTGACCTTCGTGCATGTGGTGGCAGGCGGGTGCATTCACATACATGAACTACAGCAACCCGATGAAGATTACACTCATTTGCAAAACCACAAAAAAAGGCAAAACACTAACCAAATCCTAAAATAACAGCAACTGCACTGAGCACCGGCATGGGCAGGACATACAACATCTAACACACACGGTGTCATTTAATCCTCACAGCGCCCTATGAGAGAGACATCATCCCCACTTACTGATGAAAAGCCTGGAATTAGATGACATTGTTATCTTATTCATGCTAGTGCAACTGACTGACCCAGAAATCAAACCCAGGCTCTTTTTGTTTCCAGGGCCCACATTTTTATTCCTGTAAGTCAAATATTATATTCCTAGGATTCTGTGTGCATGTAAGTGCATGTATTGTTTTTTATGTCAAAAAATGTGTCCCCTTCTCTCATTAAGATGTTCTGGGCTGACAATACAGTTTAGTGGTAGGGCCCTAACATACCTGAGGTGTATTATTGCTTATTCTCAAACTTTCTCTCTGTCTCCCACTCTCTCTCTCTGAGCACGGCAGTACATATCTGGAATCCTGGGCCTCAAGAGTCTGAAGCAGGATAATGAGATTGAAGACAGTCTCGTCCATATAGTGAGACTATGTCTTAAAAAGAAAAATAATGTTTGCTCCTGTTATTCTCTGTATGCCTTCAGAGAAAAAAAAAAAAAAAACAATTTCTACTATCTCTTCCCATACCCAGAAGCTTACAATGACCTCTCTGTCGCAATCAATGGAATCTACAACCGTTTCTTTCTCAGTGGTCTAAAGAAATACTCACAGCGGGTAGACCGCTTCATGGGTGCAGTGCACTGTGGTCACGTAATCTGGACTCGGGTTGTAGAGCATCGTGTACCAATCAGACAGCATCAGTACTCGGCAGGAACGGATGTAAAGGACGCCCACCGGATCACTCACGAGCAAGGTGATGATGGCCGCCATACTGCACTCAAACAGTGCAGTGATGTGCTGGAAAAGAGCGCTGGAGCTGGGGAGACAGGGGCACAAGCTTAGCCCAGCCAGGCTTCGGTCGAGGGGGCGCACAGCTCAGGAGACAGGGTCTAAATGTCTCAGCTACGATCTGGAAGCTACACTCTCCAAAGATCAGACAAGCCACACACGCCAGCACCTCAACCTGTTGTTACAGTCCGAAGGTCTGTCCACTCCAAAATTCTTACACTGAAATACACTCTCAGTGTGATAATGTGGGTAGGTCAGGGTTGTGGACTCCTCAGGAAAGAGATTAGAAGTTTTTTGAAGAGGTCAGAACTTTCTCTGTCCCTTCTGCCATGTGAGGACACAGGAAAAAGGTGCCATCTACAAAGCAGAGGGCAAGCTCAGCAGCCACCAAGTCTGCATCACGATGCGCCATTTCCAGTTTCCACGGAGGCAAGCAGTATATTTCTAGTCTAGCAGGGGGTCGTGGCTAAAGGCTACAATCTCAGCACTTGGGAGGCTTAGGCAAAAGGAGGATCACAAATTTGGGGCTAGCCTGGGCTACAGAGTAAGTTATACATTGTCCTGGACTACAAAGTAAGATCCTGTCTCAAAACATTATCTAGATTATTAATTAATTGAATAATTATTATTTAGCTAATTAGTCAATTAATATCTAAGTGTAAGTACCTAGTTAATTAGCTAGCTGATTAATCTCATGAATAACCTATGTATATGCATGTATGTACACGCACTTATTAGTGAGTGCCTGGTGCCTGTGGTAGTCAGAAGAGGGTGTTGGAGTCACTAGACTTGGAGTTATGGATGAGGGGGTCAGACACCCTGGGACGGAAGCTACAGACGGTTGTAAGCCACCCGCGTTGTAGACACTGGATACCAAACCTGGGTCTTCTGCAAGAGCAACAAGTGCTCTTAACCACGGAGCGATCTCTCTAGTCCCTTTTCACTTGTTGAAAGAGAAGACTCCTCAGAGATGACTTCATGTCCTGCTTTTTCCAGACTTCAGCTATTTCGTGAGGGTTACTAGCGCTGCTAATCAGCAGAACTGGATTACTTTACAGACATAACACTGAAGCACAAGTACAGAAAAGCACATGCTATATCTGGTCTTTGTAGGCTTTGTATATAATTCGTGTTTTTAAAGTAAAAACCACATCTAATTCCCAATGACAGGAATCTTTTCATCATGTTTCAGTTCATCTACAGTCAGCCACATGATCTACAAAAATAAGTGGATTCTAAAACTCATGCACTGCATAGTATTTCGTTCCACGAAGGAGCACATACATGATGGTGGTCCCACAGGACTGTATTCTCTGTGTACCTTGTAGCTGTCAGTGTGTGTGCTCCTGGATGTCCTCACAGTCGTGGAGCATTTACTGATCTGTGTCACTACACCTGATGGGACACTGAGTACTTCAGGAGCCCTCCTGCACTTCAGAAAAGGACGCCCCTTTCCACATCGCCTTACACTCCTCGGCCACGCTAGACTGCTTCAAGTTCCTTTGCACACATAGGGGCAGGCTTCGTCCTCTCCCTCAAGACATACTTCATCTGTGCGGAAAACCGTGTGCTCTTTAGCATCCGCCTGGAATTAGGCCCCAGCTCTAGGAACTGTCCCAAGACTTCCCCGCCCCAGGCCTCCAGATCCAGCCGGATCCAGCCCACTCTCAGCGCTTGTTACTCAGCCACACCACACACCCTTCTGCCTCCATAAAGCCAGGCAGTGAAGAGTTCTGGAGAGAGTGAAAAGACCAACGCAGGAAAAACTCACAAGAGCAGAGGGACAAAAGCTGACACCTGAAGAAGAATCTGCTCCCACCCCTCCCACCCCATTCCCTGTAGAAGAACCAGGCACAAGCTCGTCAAGAACCTCTGCATGCTGGCCCCCCACTTTCATCACTACCTTCCCTTCGTTTGGAACCCCCACCCTGGCCACTTCAGATCACATTGCCATCCCTCCATCTTTTTTCTACCAAAACTGTTTTAGCATTTCTTAAGTCTTTTAGATCCTATTAGGCATAATTTCTCGCCCCATTCTTTGTGGCTCCAGACGCTGACAACAGAGAATCGCACTACATCCCTAAGATGGATTTATATTATCATCACGGACCTATCTGTCCTCTCCACTTCTTCTCTCTCTTCCTTTGATCTTCCAAACATAAAATACACTGCTCAACAAATATATTAGCAGTCAGCTCTCATAATTATACTCAGCCATTAGCATTAAATTAAGTTATAAAGTATTTGTTCTAAAACAGTAACAGCTTGTGATCCTAGCCAATTCTTGCAGAAATTCAGTATGTTTGAGAAATAAAAGTCTCTAGCAGAGTCTCATTAACACCTACTAAGATAGGCCCTACCATTTCTTTCTCATTTCAGAAAAAAAAAACAAAACAAAACAGGTTGTCCCTCTGAAACAAGTGAAGGGTAATTATTCTTCTAACGGACAGTCAGGCTAGGGGTATAGGTTAGTATAAGATCATGCACTCAGCATCACAATCTATGAAATCATTATTCCAAAACTAGTCCATCCAGGTACAATCAGAATGTGCTCACCTCTTTTTCCCCGAGTACCATTCAATGAAGAACCAATGTAGAACAAGAGGAAGCATCGCCATAAATCCAAGATAGAGCCAGTCATAAAGTTCGGGGGACTCTGTGCAAGGCTGACAGTATTTCTGTGCATTGGTCCTCTGTCCTCTTGGGCACACCTACAATATGTAAAAGCATTGCTTTATACACAAATAGTATTTTGGGATCATTCTATAAGGGAATCTCATTTTATTTTAAACAGTTTAGTATATATGGATAGCTTTAAGAAATTAAAAAAACAAAACCTGCAAGAAGAATTTAAAAAAAATCTAAAAAAGAAAATACTTCAAGAAATTCACATCATCTGTGCGGTCTGCAAAACGCTCAGTGAAAACTTCTACTTAATTGCTAAAACAGCTAACTAATATTCAATGAAAAACCTTGTAACATCATATAAAAATTATTGCAGAAGTGTTCTGGGGTTGTCATATCAACTTAGTGTACAAAACACTTTGATACATCATTAAATAGTAACTAGACATTATAAAATATTTTTAATATCTGTGATTATCAAGAAAGATTTAAATACAGTATCAACATGCCAATATAAACAAGGCTTTTATTAATACCACATTCTTATACACTTGTGACTACATTTAAAACAAAAAATTCTTCATGCAAAAAGTTTCCAAAATAAATAGTTCTTATAATAAAATAATATTAACATAGGACTTACCCCACATTCTCCATAGATTTCACTGGAGCCGTTTTTAAATAATAGGGTCTTCCCACAATAGAGTCCAAGGCATGCTGGTTGAATATCGACAGCTTTTTAAAAACAAATGCCAGTATAGTAACATCCTTTGTGGTTACAAGTAATAAAAACCTGGTAACAGCTGAATTGGCAGAAGTGTCTCAACCTCACTTTAAAAATGTACAAGGCAAGTCTTGATGCTTTTACTTTTAAGTTCTTTGATGCTGTGACCCTCCAGGAAATTATACCGGCATCCTATTGTTCACTCTGAGCCTCTTACTGGTCTCCAGCCAGCACAGCAGGTTCTAGCCCCAGGCGCCTAACCCTGAACCTTCCCACTAGCTCGGAAAGCAGTTCCTATGACTGGACTTTGGAATTTCATTGATTCTAAGCCTGAACTACCTGGGGAGGTTAATTGGTGGAGCTCAAGGTAAAAGGGGAGGACAAGGACGGCAGAAAGTTGTCATTTTTCATGTGTGCATGGCAGGCATACCCCGGTGCCATACATATCACACAATTTAAAAACTAATTAAAATATATCATGTTGTCCAGTTGGGACATTGGGCACACACAGAGACATTCGTTGTTCATAACAGAACATGTTAACAGAAAGGATGAAGGAGAAAATTTCAGAATAGAGCATAGGTCTTTAAAACAAATCAATTCACCTCCATATAAAAGCACTATCCTAGCTTTTATCATTTCTGCTGAGGGCTGGGGTCATTTCCACCAAGGCTGGCACTGAGCTTCTAACCAACTACCCGAGAATCACTGTCTTGCAATTTCTTAAAGATCGGGGGGAAATTTAAAAAAAAAAAAAGAAAAGAAAGAAAAAAGAAAATAAAAATCTCTTTCTAAAGCAAAACCCTGAGGACCTCCAAATCACCTTGGACTTCACCCGGGAGAAATGACTGAAGGCGGCACTGAACCAGTAATGTTTGATTCTCCTAACTGCCCAATAACCATACATGGAATAAGCCGCTCAAGGGCGTGAGGGTCCTCATAGGCTCGTGACAGTGTGGCTGCCTTCTCTAAGAATCTGCCATACACTATGAAATAAGTCCAAAACAATGGCGGCAAACATGTCAATTTACACACTTTATTATTATCACTGAACTATAATTTCCTCAGATTTTTCATGTGCCCACAATGTGGAGATTATGGTTACAAGGTCCTTTCTCCTTTCAAATTCCTGAAGACTTAATTTTTTTTGTCCTTGCATTTTCGAGGAAAACCAAACAGAAAAACACAGTCTAAAATGTCTCACGTTTGATATTTTCACTTTTATCAAGTACTTGACATCTTTTTTAACCCATGCTTCTTTATTTTAGAATATTAAAAAAATACTTTTATTATTATAGTATTATGTTTTTATGTGTTTGTGTGTTTTGCCTGAATTTATGTTTGTGTGCCATGTATTTGCCTGGTACCTCTGGAGGACAAAAGATCCGGAGGTCAGAAAAGGATATGGGGTTCTCAGAAACTGGAGTTACAGAGGATCCTGAGACGCTGTACGGGTGCTGGGAATCAAACCCTGGTCCTCAGAAAGAGCAACAAGTGCTCTGAACCGCTGAGCCAACTCTCCAGCCAGTCCCTTAACGTTTTGTTTTGTTTTTTATAGCAACTGAATTATAATGAACTAAATACATGACATGAAATGAATTCAGGTTTTCTGGGAAGAAAGTTAAGGCTTTGCATCTAAAAGATCCCAAAACCAAGACTTGAAAATCAGTGCAACAAACAAAAGCAAAGTTGATTTACCTAACAACAACAACAACAAAAATCTGTACAATTATGTTTTATAGCCATTGGTGAACTATGGCTAAAATGTTGACCTTGTTTTGTTTTGTTTTGTTTTCCTGCAAAAATCTGGCCCCTTGTGAAGGATTCTAATGTATTTACATTTGATGCCAGATGTGTACCTTTAAACCCAGCACTCGGGAGGCAGAGGCAGGTGGATCTCTGCGTTCGAGCCAGCCTGGTTTACAGAGCCCAGTTCCAGGACAACCAGGGTTATACAGAAAAACCACAAGAAACAAAAACAAAAATAAACAAACAAAATTTACACTTGAGGTTGAAATAGCAAGTTGTGTGTCAATTTGCTTCCGCTTCCCTGCGCTGCACTAACACCCGCACTTCTAATTCTCAAATCAACCATTAGGAACACTTTCCTGGACAAGAAACAAAGCAATGAATGAAAGAACATAGGAAGAGCACATCAAAGCCTCAGCCCTTCCTTCTGCACACGGCCCCGCGGTCATCTCCAGCCATTCGGGAGCAGACCATCCCAACCCCGGGAGAAGTCAGAGCTGGAGCACAGGGCAGTATAGGACAAGGGTGCCCGCCACGCGAGACAGCTGTCGGCCGGAGGCGAGCCCGGGGCAAGAGGTGGGAAAGCAGTAGGCACGAAGACTGAGATCTTCCCCCGAACCCCGCAGCCTAAGCGACCACTTACCCATTGGCCACACTAGGTTCTCCAGAGAAGCCCGGGGATCAGCCGGTCCGAACGCAGCACCCGAACATCCGGGCCACAGCGCTCCCCGCCGCTCCGCCTCCCGCTAGCCTGGCGATCGCGGTGGAACCCCGCCCCGGCTACATTAGGTTCCCAGTCCCGCCCCAGCAGCACAGTCTCCGCTAGACTGAAATACACTTGGTGGACGATCCGGCCTAAGATCCCAGGAACCCGGTTTCCTAGTTTAGGCTCGGAAGCGTCTCTGTCCCTTCCGGGTCTGAGCTCAGAGGCTCCACCCTTTCCGGGTTCAGACTCATCGGGCCTCCTCTGGGCAAGGGCCGGAACCGAGGTCCGGGCTCCAACCGGGCAAGTCTACACCGCCTGGAGCGATTCCTAGACTGGACCCAGAGGTCCCGCCCCCGTTTCCTAGATAAGGCTTAGTAGCCCCGCCCCCGCCGTGTGATTAAAGTCTGCAAGGCCCCGCCCCCACCTAGTGGCCCCGCCCCCATGGAGTGGCCGAGCCTCTGGGGCCCCGCCCCCATGTGCGAACAAGTTTCGAGGCCCCGGCCCCGCCCCCGCCGTGTCCCTCTCCGGACCCGGTGGCCGTGCCCAGTCTAAGCTTCCAGGCTTGTCGCCCGGTGGTCTCCGCTCCGACGTCTGGTCCTGTGGTTGCCACCGACCTTGCGCGTTCTCCCGTGGCGTTTGACATTTATCCCCGGCTTGGAGACAGCACCACTGTGCTGAGCTGCAATCCCGGACGCAGACAATGGACGCGGCACTGTGGGTGGTCCGGCTGCCTCCGCACGACCCGAGGACAACCCCACTGTCGGTAGTGGATATGCACACGGGCGGCGAGCCCTTGCGCATTGTGCACGCCGGGTGTCCGGAGGTGGCCGGGCCCACGTTGCTGGCTAAGCGTCGCTACATGCGTCACCACCTCGATTACGTGCGGCGGCGTCTCGTGTTCGAGCCCCACGGCCACCGGGACATGTACGGGGCGGTCCTGGTGCCGAGCGAGCTGCCCGACGCTCACCTGGGCGTATTGTTCCTGAACAACGAAGGCTACAGCTCCATGTGCGGCCACGCGGTGCTGGCGCTGGGCCGCTTCGCCATTGACTTCGGACTGGTGCCTGCTCCCCCAGACGGCACCCAGGAGGCCCAGGTCAACATCCACTGCCCGTGCGGGCTCGTGACCGCCTTCGTGGCATGTGAAGGTGGCCGCAGTCGCGGTCCTGTGCGCTTCCACAGCGTCCCGGCCTTCGTCCTGGCCGCAGGTAAAGGGTGAGACCCTCTAGGCCCGGTGTTTTGGGACACACTCCGGAGGAATCTAACCACTGCTCTTTGTTGAATAAACCTGCGCAACTAACCCCACCCTGCTTGCCTTAGCAATTCATAAAAAGGTAATTCCAAGTTACTGCAAACACTCCTCGGTATCTTGGTGGATGCAATTCGGTTATCTTGCCTAACCATCCATGCAAAGCCTGGGGGAGCTTGGAGTGGAGTGGTCAAGAAGTCTATGCTTTCTTTACACAGCATCCCGACTCCACACTTGGCAGGCAGGCATTCGTAGAAATTTCACAGTAGAATGAAGAACAGAGGTCAGTGAGTTCCAGTCTGGCTTAGAATATGCTCGGTAAACACATTTCTCCTAATAAGTTACTCAACAGAACTTGTCTTTCCCCGGCTGTTAAGTGCCTTCCCTCTGCAGGGAGAATGTCAGTTCCAGGCCAGCATGAGTGACACGGTGAGACCCCTTGGCTTTGGGGAAGAACTAAATTTGCAGGGGCAGATATTGGCTGCTCTTACCTAAATCCACAAGTTCACAACCCCTCAAATCCCAGACTGAGTCTGTACCTTCCTTTATTTCCACAGGTTCTTAGGGCTAAAAAGACGCGCGTAAAACATTCTTAGAATTTAATTTTTTTAAAGGCGATTACATGTGGACACTTTTGTTTTGAGATAGGATCTCACTCTGCAGCCCTGGCTTGAAAGACACCCTGGCACTTCTATGTTGGGGCTGACCTCCATCACACAGAGATCTATCTGCCTCTGCCTCCTGAGTGCTGGTAGAATTTTTTTTAACATATCTGAAAAATTATTCGTCAAGAAGCAGAGACTTCAAGATAGTGAGCTTGCTATTTCCTGGGCATGCAAAAACATGAAAAGGATTTCCGGGTTCCCGATTATGGGTCTTTGCTATCTCTCCAAGCAGGTCCCTCTTCAGAATCACCTGGCGTTTTATCTTTTATCCCAGTCCTTCTAGCCCAAGTGGTTATCAACCCGTGGGTCACAGCCCCCCTTTGGGTTGCCTGGCCCTTTCACAGGGGTCTCTTAGGACCCTCAGAATACACAGATATTTGCATTACAATTCATAAAGGTAGCAACATTACAGTTATGGAGTAGCAACAGAAATAATTTTATGGTTGAGGGTCATCACAACGTGAGGAACTGTATTAAAGGTCACAACAGCTGGAAAGTTGAGAACCAATGCTGGAGAGAGCCTCCAGCCTGCCACTTGCCAGGCCCATGTGCCCCAGGACAGCTATGAATGTGGTCCAACAGAAAAAGTAAAGTTACTTAAAACATGGAGTTTTTGTTTGTTTTTAATGGCTTACCTGTTTCTTATTGTCTCTGGAGTGCATGGCTCTCTAGCATGAACTATGCCACAGAGGAAAGTCGGATACACTTGCAGGATTGCATTTTTCAGTGCAGATGTCTAGTATCTGACGGGAAGTGAGCTGGGCGCTAACTTGGTCAATCCAGGAATGAGGTTACATAACACTGCTTTTCTCCCCAGTCTTCGAGCAATGCAAAGCATTCTTCGGAAAGCTGTTCTTGATCCTCCTGGGATAATTAGACTCCAGGACAGCCCAGGTGTGAATGACACTGTAGCAGAACAGGCTTAGGGTAACCTCAGTAGGCAAATACCCGTGGGGATGAATGCCTCTGCGGAATTCGATGCCCTTGGAGGGAATGAGTATCACAACCAAGCTGGTGCTTGAGGGAGATCATTTATGATTTTGTTTTTTTTTAAAAAAAAACAAAAGAGGATAAAGAAAAACAGCCGTTGAACTTGCTGGCTACCTAATTTCTCCCTAAGCAGTTCAAGCAGCAGGTTAGAGAGTCCACTCTGTGAGACCCAACAGCTGGCGGCAGCAGTGTTCATATTAGTCCCCGGTTGGTAAGGGGAGGGCTAGCCAAACCTTTAGATACCAGAGTTCCCACCAGCATCCCTGTGTGCCAGCCACAGAAGTCAGTGGGCTTGAGTGCTCACGCTGAAGCCTTCGGAACAGGAAACTCTGCATCCCCAGCAGCACATAAAAGGCAGGAGGATGGTGTTGGAGAGCCTTGATCTGCCCCTTCCCATCTCAGCTACCGTGCTCAGGAAAGGCACCATACCCACGGGGGAGGGTCACAGAGTTCACTGTAGCCCCATGTGTTAAATCACGTTTGTTTTGTTCACTTTATCCCAGGGGTCTACCACAGTAGGCTGTAAATGAATAGGGGTTGAACGATAAGCTAAGTAAATGAAATTTGGAGACTGTGCCGCTTGGCAATTGGAGCCTCTTGAGAATGCCATTCCTATTGGAAATTAAACTTTGACTTCCACCTTAGCCTTCACCAAACCCACTAACCCAGGCTGGGTACTCTGTATGTATTACTGTATGGATTTTCAAAGCAATTCTTGTAGGGGGGCGGGGGACATAAAAAATCCTCTTTCTGTGCAAGAAAAGAGAAGTTGTGCCAAGGGGCAGAGCCAGGAGCCAGACCCAAGCCTGGTGGGTTGATCCTTTCATCCTGAACATCTTTGCAATTCACAGAGACCCATTTCAATTTTCTGGAACACACATTCACACCATGTGCCACATTTGAGATTTTTCTCTTTCTTGTCTACGTGAACTTGAGAAGAAAGACTGCTTTATTCAGCCTGTAACTCTTGAGCGCCCACGTGGTAGATACTCTTCTGGTAGGTATGCCCTAAGTGTAACCCGAGGGAAATTGATGTAAAATCCTAGTGATGAGCTTGTGTAGCCAAAAGGAAGGATTTGGGATTGAGTCCTAAATACAGGTTACATATTTCAGGGGAACGGGCCGGGATGTGAGAGTCAAGGGCTTCTGAGTTTGACTCCAAGCTCTGCCACTTCCTTAGTGGGCTGCTCAGAATTATGGGAGCATCTTAAATCGCAGAACCTGTCTCTCAGCGCTGAAGTAGTGGAGGCAATGTGTCTGCATGGAACGTGCTCATGGTCTCTCAATTTCCAGTGCCAGCAATTTAGTTATTTACGGAGAAAAGTGGCAGGCAGCCAGGCATGGTGGTGCATACCTGCAAGCCCAGTGCTGCTGTTATGGGGCGTGCTACTATACCCAGCTGAAAAAAGAAATCTCTAAAATTTCCCTTTTGGCATTATAACTGAAGATTGCCAGTTTGTGAATAGCATTCAAATCCCACTTGAAGCCTTCTCTACTAGTGTGTGTGTAGTCCTTCGTGGTGTTCACAGGTGGCTGTCCAGAGTTTTCCCATCTCCTAGTCCCCCCTATGACAACCTCTATTGTAGGTTCCTACAGTAGAACCTCAGAGTAGTTAACGACATGCACATATAATCAAAAAGCAACACAGCACCACATATATTCTAATTGAAGGAAACAACCAATTTAAACAAGAAAATGCACGTAGCCCTCATTTGCCCAACACTTAATTTTGAAAATGGATTTCGGTTCCATTTCTTTCTGTCATGAAGGTTTCTCCTGCGATTTTTTTTTTTCCCTAACAAACTTACTTGTAAACGCCTCTTTCAGATCTCACAGTGGATGTTCCTGGGCATGGAAAGGTGGTGCTGGACATCGCGTACGGTGGGGCATTTTATGCATTTGTTAGTGCAGAAAAATTGGGACTTGACGTGTGTTCTGCAAAGACGAGGGACCTTGTGGAGGCAGCAAGCACGGTGACAGAAGCGGTGAAAGCTCAGGTGAGTCCCCTCGGTGCTTAGAGAAATACAAATGATCACATCCATAAGGGAAGTATGCACCTGCGTCTGTAGTCAGAGTAAGACGAGTGTACTGGCTAGGGCTCTCGCGTGACCCTTGTGAATCCTAGCTTTGACACTGGGAGCACTCATGACCTGACCACTGTGGGTTTCAGTTTCCTACTCTTTAAAATCATATCAGAGTCCGGCAGTGGTGGTGCACGCCTTTAATCCCAGCACTCGGGAGGCAGAGATAGGCAGATCTCTGTGAGTTCGAGGCCAGCCTGGTCTACGAGAGCTAGTTCCAGGACAGGCTCCAAAGCTACAGAGAAACCCTGTCTCGAAAATAAAATAAAATAAAATCATTTCAGTTTAGGTGGTAAGCAACTCAAAAGTATATTCTTTCATCTCTAGCATAATTCTGCCTATCGGCCTTGA